TCACGTAGACACTATGTGTGCTTGCCATTTTACACTTAGCTGTTGAGACTTTCACAATGGGGGTTGGTGGGCGTCCCTCAGCACCAACCACTACTGGTTCCCGAAGCTGATCTATTGGTAGTATTCTTCTTACACTGGCTCCTCATATGTCCTTGCTCTCAACAATTCCAACAACCTCTCTGGGTAGCAGTGTTTCCTGCTGTGGCATCTTCCCTGTGTTGAAGTTTCCGGCATTGAGCTCTCTTGTTCCCAGGTTTCTTACAGTGCCAGCAAAGTCCCTCAAACTTCTCTGAAAGCTGCCCTTTTCTGGCCTTGAATCCTGATGACTGTACCAACCTCAATACCTCTGTGCTGGACTTAACATAGGATTCAATTCAAGAGCTCTGGCCATTGCATCTTGTATAGTAGAGGGGTGTACTTGCTTCACTTGTATCTTCAGTTGTGGACTATCCAAGGCATCTACAAACTGATCCCTCAGCAACAACTTGAGGAGATCGGGTGGTGCAGTTGGGTAGGCCTTGTGTGCCATACTTTCCAAGTCCTGTGCCAGTTCTTGCAGGCTCTCCCTTTTAGCACGGACTCTAGTCCTAAACTTAGCCCTATAGACTTCGGACTGATTTTGAGTTCCATACCTGAGCTCTAGAGTAGCTACCAATGCTCTATAGTTGTGCCTGTCATTTGCTGACAACTGTCCAAATATTTCTAGTGGTTTTCCCTTTAAGATCGTTTCCAGGTACACTGCTTTCTGCTCCTTTGTCCACTCATTTATTTCTGCCAGGAGCTCAAATTGTGATCTATATGCATCCCACGGTGCCTTACCTTCGAATTCCTATGGCTTCCTTAGTATTAATCCCTCCCATTACTGACACTCATGTCTGGAAGGGGCTTCCCATTGATTAGGTCCATGGCTAATATATCATCCTTGTGTAAAAGACAGTAAATCATTCTTTAATGTACTTAATTCACTTTGATATTTACTAAAGTTTTCCATTTGTACTTCTTGTTCCAGTTGCCACTGCTGTAGTCTCTCTTCTTCTTTATGTTCTCGTTCTTCTTGTTTCTTTTCTTTTTTCTCCAACAGCTGATGTAATCTCTTTTGTTTATTTTGCTGTTCGAGCTGCTACTGTTGTCTCTATTCTTGTTTATTTTCTTTATCCTCCAACAACTGCTGTAATCTCTCTTCTTGTTTCTTTTCTCATTCTTCTTGTTTCTTTTCTTTTTCCTCCAACAACTGCTGTAATCTCTCTTCTTGTTTCTTTTCTTTTTCCTCCAACAACTGCTGTAATCTCTCTTCTTGTTTCTTTTGCTGTTCTTGTATTGCTGCCATCAAGTCTGCTAAGGTGTAGTTTGATTTGCCACTTCTCATTTCCATCTTCATTTTCTTTCTTTTTTTTTTCAGTCCCACTCTCTGACACCAATTTGTTACGTCTCTGGTCATTTGTTAATTTCCCATAAAAATTCTTCCAGAGGAACTTCAGCGATACAAGTCCTTTCTTAAATAAAACTAGTTTATTATTCCTCAATTCAACTTTGCAATACACAGAATTTCCACAGTCACTTTAACTTAAACACACACTGTAATTCTCAATGATTTACACACTTTACTTACAGCTTGACTCAATTATTCTGTTTTTAATTTATCTGCAGGCTTATATCCTAAAATAGAGGGTGTCTAGCAAACACTGGGATGTTCGTGAGGTTCCCCGATCCTTCTAGAATCTCATCACATGTTACCAGCGTCACGGTGACTTCTGCTGTTGTAACAGCAATCATCCAGTTAAAGCAATCATCCTTCAACACTCTTGTCATGAAACTAAACAATCATCAAACACTAAGTCAAAAAATAAACTAAAGAATAACTCTTATACTAAACAGTCTTGTTTACCCAACAATAAACCCCTCTTGAAGAAAAACAGTTACAATATTTTTTTACTATGTTCAAAGACTGTTCATAGTTCCTACATAAAGTCTACTCATACAGTCTGCACCAACTTACAAATCCTATCAAGTTACATAACCAAACTTGTCATAACTGTTGCTTTTAAAATGACTAACTTTTAACTCTCTTGTTATGAAAAATTAAACAATCACTAAATATTAACTCACAAAATAAAATAAATAATAATGCCTACTAAACAGTTGTATATTCAACAATCACAGCTGTATCTAAAGCTTTAAATAATTGTCTTTTAATAAAATAAATAATAACTTACATTAAACAGTCTTGTATATCGAACAAGCCTAGATATTAGTAATATCCCACATGTTGAACTATTCATAGTTATGTCTCAGTTGTTGAAGTAAATGTTAGTAATATCCTAGGCACCATTCTAGTAACCCACCTCTGAAACCAATTCAACAATTCAATGTCCTTTGTAGGATAAGAAGCCCAAGACTGAACACAACACTCCGAATGTGGCCTAATTAGTGATCTCTACAATGAAATTATAACCTCTTTAGACTTCTATTCAATATTTCTGTTGATACAACTTAAAATCCTATTTGCCTTACCACTAGCAACAGCACATTACTTGGATGGCTTAAGAGACACATCAACCACTACACCAAGATCCCTTTCTTTCATAACACTGTTAAGGTTATTCCC